AAGAAGGATCTGAAGAGGCATAGTGAATTAATCAAACATAAACAGAACTTTGATTCACTTTATGCAAGAAATACATTAGATAACTATGGTAATTTGTAATATTTATAATTTACGCATAACTTTTAATAATGCTCGAATAAATACATATGTATTACAGGTGTTGTTCCTGAGACAAATGACTCTAGAATTATTGATAAAAAATTATAAATTTTTACAGCCAAGCATGCTTCTATACTGTCTGTTGACCATTTAACAAACATGCTCAAATCTTTCAATTAAGGAATTTGGAAATTTCTAATAAGAGAAGTATATAATTACTTTAACAACAGTCCTCTAAGGATATTAAAATATCAAATGCATTTGATTTAATAAATTCGGGCTTTGACGCAATCAAATTGAAAAATCTCGTCCAAATATCTGCGACCAGGTGGTTGTCCTATGGTTTGACTGTTAAAAGAGTGCTGGAGCAGTGGATTGAACTTAAATATCATTTTTCAATTATTTCCACAGCTGACTCTGAGAAAACAGCACAAATTATTCACAACTTAATGTGCAATGATGAAATTAGGCTATACTTGACATTCATGAATTCTATTTTAAATGAAATGAATAGTCTAAACCTATATTTTCAAAGCGACAAAATGGATGCTGGAACTATTTACGACAAATTGTTTATAAGTCTACTATCGTTAGCAACTAGAATTTTAAAACCATCAATAATTTCTGACATAAAAGATGAAGAAGATATTCCTAAAGTAATCGAAGTCATGGAAAATGATTCTTCATATCTCCCGATAGTTTGTGGTCTTTTTGGACAAAAGTTTATTTATATCAGGATGCTGCTGAGTCAAAACCTTTTAAAGAACTTGCAGAACTAGTACTAAATATGCTTTGTGTTCCAACAAGTAATGCTAGAACGAGTTTTTTTCCATTATGAATACGATACAAACACAGCTTCGAAATTAAATACAATATGAATTATTAGAAGCTCTTTTAAGAATTAACACAATATTGAAAAATAATTCAATGTGCTGTGAAAGTTTTAATCCTCCTCCACAAATGGTAAAACTTTTTAACAGTAAAAATATGTATAGAACAACTCATGATGTTAGTGAGTCGGAAGACTTTGAATCTGAGCTGTTTTGATATAATAAGTATCATTGACATTTGAAATCATCACAATTGAAATATATAGGGGATTTTTTTGGGGATGATAAATAAAATTTGGGGACTTTTGGGGATAACATATCTTGATTTGGGGTTTCAGTTAAAAAAAAAACTGGCAACGCTGTTAGTGAAAGGCCTGAGGTGTCGGGGAGAGAGAGACCGCTCTCGCGTGAAGAGCGGTTCTCTTAGGTCTACTAGTGTTGCGGTGGCAGAGATTAAGAGAGTGACAGACTCTCTTAGATATGGTGAGCGAGGCGAGCTGTACTCCGGCGACGACAAGCGAGATTATCTCTCTCTAGCCGTTATGAGGAAATTCTGATGAGAGCGGTCGTGGAGAATGAGAGGCAAGCTTGAGGCGTTTGAGTCTATGATGGCAGGTGGTTTCCGTCCGGGGGTTACGCCCCCTGTGTTGCAGTCGACGCCCTCTGTTGGCCCTGTTGCTGCCAGGCCGATGGTTTCTGTGCCTGAGACCTGGTCGGTTGTGGTGAGGGGCAAGGGTGGTGCCTCAGCCTCTGAAGTTGTGAAGAAGGTGGTGGAGGAGGTCGGTCCGGCACTGAAGGTAAGGGTCCATGACGTCAAGCCCACGAAGAGTGGTAGTGCGGTCATCCGCACTCCATCTGTGGCAGAGAGGGAGAGAATCGTGGCGAATAAGTTTGCGGATGTTAGCTTGGAGGTTACGGTGAGGGCCGAGGCTGGTCGTCCAACGTGTGCATGCGGAGATGTCTCTCGACGGCATGAATTTCAAGGACAGTATGTCGGTAGAGGAAGAGCGTGGGGTTGGCGAGTGGTCCGTGGAAGCCTCCAGTGAGCGGGGACACTCGGATCAATGTGGTGTTAAGCAGCTGTGTGCGAGCGGAGTTTATATCAGGTGGTTCCGCTTTGTTGTCCGTAGTCAGGATCCGGTCCCCGTTGTTGATGACAGAGATGTCGACTGTACTGTTAGAAGTAGCCATCCTAGGGGGGGTGTCCGTTGAATGGGCGGGGGGAAGATGTTGGCTAGCATCTATTGCCAATTCAGCTCACCTTTAAAGCCATATTTAAGGTATATGGATATGGTACTACTCGCGAGTAGTTGTCCACTAATCCTAGGGCTATACGCGAACGCAACCTCGCTGTGGTTCTCCAAGATGACCAGGTCAACATCTTGTCATCGGAATCGCATCCCAGCAGAGGCGCTTAGTGAATGGGTGTTAGCGATAGGCGTCGAGATCTTTAATGAGCCCTCGGTCCCTTCGGGGTGAGTGACATAGAGGTGACAGCTGCAAATTAGGCAGCAATGACAGCTTACCAGTTTAGTTGGTATTTGCGAAGAGTGGGGTGTGTGTGACCATAACCTCATTAAGATTTTGGCCACTCCGAGGGGACGTACGCAGGGAACTGAGCGTTTCTGGGGTTGGAAGGAACGAGATGTGAACTGGGACCATTATGCGTACTGTGTCAGGGAGGTGGCTTTGCCACTAGTGGACTTTAGGGCACGGACCATAGATGACCAGGTCAGCTTGTTGAATGAGTAAATGAGCAACGTCAATCATGTTCTCCTTGGTAGGCGCCGTCAGGCTAAACCGAGTAAGGTCAAATGGTGGACCCGCGGTGGCAAGTCAGGCGTCTTAGGCGGCGCTTCCAAAGAGCCAGGCGTCCCAATGCGGAAGATTTAGCGCAGCGTAAATCCGAGTTCCTTGCTGCTCTTAGTACGTATACAGACGAGCTGTCTAGTAGTAAAGAAGACAATTGGAGGAGATTAGTACGGGACAATGTAGATGATCCATGGGGTATACTGTGGGTGCCGGCATGGCGGGTCTAAGAAACAGGTTGACCTACAGGAGTTCCGTAGCAGCTCTGTGACAACCACCTTGGGGTGGGGGGAGGGCGTAGGGCTTTTGTTGGGAACATTCTTTCGGTTTTACCGAGGATAGAGGTACTGCGGACGCGTGGCGGCATGTGCAAGATAGGCTGAGCGGGTCAAATTCCAAATATGTCCTTGGCATATTTGTGGATTTAAAGGCGCATTTGACATTCTTTTAAGGGATAGCGTGCTCACAATTTTGTCAGATGGCGGGTGTGAGGAGATTGCTCCTCAGGCAAGTTATTTCCGAGATAGGAAGGCTAGTGTCGTGGGAGCCAGTGCTTCGGTCTGGAGGGATGTGCAACGTGGTTGCCCACTGGGTTTCATTTGTGATTCATGTATATGGAATCTTATGATGGATCCTCTGTTGCGGGAGCTAGCTGTCTGTGCATATGCGGATGACTTGCTCATCATGATTGAAGGAGATATTCGTCTTGAAATGGAAAATCGTGGTGAGCAAGCTATGCAGATTGTGCAGGCTTGGAGTGGCCGTGTTGGAGTGGAAGTGGCTACCGAGAAGACGGTGCTGATGCTGCTGAAAGGCAGGTTGGCATGCAGCCGTCCTCCCTGCATTCGAGCTGGTGAACGCGGCATAAGGTATTCGTATACTGTCAAATATCTCGGGATAACGGTGTCAGAGTGTTTGAATTTTCTTCCACACTTCGATCGGTTGAAGTAGAAGCTGACAACGGTCGTTGGGACCATCAGGCGTGTTTCGCGTTTTCTACTTCATGAGCTTCACTAGTCTTGTGGATGTAATGTTGGCTGTCCGTGAGGGCAGTTTTGTTAATTGTTTGTGTGGTGATGTCCGATGCCGCGATCCTTTGGGCCCTTTGTGCAGTTCGTGAGGACAGCATGTTAATTGTGTTGTGTGTATTTGTTCGACGTCGCCACTGCCAGGGGAAAGGTTTTTCCTTGTCGCTTACGGTTTTTGATGCTGCCGTATATTTTTGTTTTGGGATACCAGCCCGGACTTGCGTCGAACTGGGAGAGGCTTCGATCTCGAGCCTGAGCGGAGGTTTTCAGGTGCCGTGAATCTGTCGATCTGGTGTGGCCCCCTGGGAAGCATCGCGGGGGTTGTGGTTTCACCCCTCACCAAGGGATACAGCACTTCGGTGCTGGTGCGCTGGTGGGCGCATTTCCACAGGATATGGAATAGTTCTGTTGCTCTCATAAAATATGATGTATGCCGCGAAATCACTAATATCGAGCATATTGTAAAAAGACAAAGATCACCCCTTTGTTGGTGGCTCTGTGTGGTACATTTACGAAGCGCTTGGTCCATAACATCCACGCCACCATTCGTTCTGTTTTAAAAATTGATGATTTCTGGTTTGCGTTTTCATCTACAGTTGCGTCATCATCCATATTACGGAATTTGTTTTCTGTTGTTTATTTCAAACCGTAGTAATTGTAATAGCGGGAGAAAGGAAAATATACAACGGACTTGTATGGTGTCAATGTCAATTCAATTCTAATTTTATTATTTAATATTCCTACTTAAGAACTGCCTTATCCCTTAAATGCATTGTGTAGCCAATTGGCAACATTAACATAAAATCGTATAAAAACTACTTTCGAGACACAATATCTAATTTTTGGTTATTATGTTTGTTGTAATACATTTCATACTATTAAGACGACAAGCCCGTTTTTAACATCCATGTGAAATAGGTAATCTTTACTTCATTTTCTAAGATGTAAACGTGATCACGTGCTTTTGGCAAAAACTGCAATTGCAATAGTTAGTTTGGATACATTTAAATCAATATTGTTCAAATCAAAAAATATTTTTGGATAAGTAAAGGTATGTATTTTGATATTTTGAGGTGATTTTATTAAAAATGTATATTTTTATTTATGTAGCCAATTGGCTACACTACGCTTTAGAAAATAGAAACTTTATTGTTATACCTCTGTTTTTGGTAAGTCTGACCTAGGGCCAACATCCATTATTGTTCTGCGTTTATCACAGATTGCATCTAGAAATCAAAATTACAAATTATACCACGATAAATATTACACAGCCATTCCACGTATGCTGCACTTATTCAAAGGAGGTATGCTCTCATTAGATATAATTCGTTAGAATAGAGTACCTAATTGAAAGCTACCTTTAGAAAATATGATGAAAAAGACGCCGGGGTACTCCCCATTACTACGTAGATGCTGTAGATTTACATAGATGCTGTTGATATATTATCACTTCTATGGAAAGATAATAAACACGTCAACCTTCATTTGTCATTTGTGGGATCTTAGCTAGCCAGAGACCAACGTAAAAAGATACGATAGAAAGCTAAAAAAAACCTATCGACGTGAAATGTCCCGCTGTTATAATAGAATTCAACCCCCATATGGGCGTCGATTTACTTGACAGTCTTATGGTTCGCTTTCAAATTAATGTTAAAAGCCGAAAGTGGTACATGAAAATATTTTACCATCTAATTGATTTGACAATGGTAAATTCATGGATATTATACAAACGTGTTCTATAGCAAAATGGTGTTGAAGATTCTCTAATACTCAACCAATCAAAATTTCGAGAAGAAGTAGCATCTTGCTTATGTAGATTGCAAACAAAACCATCAAAGCGTAGAAGCCATAGTGCACTGGAAAAGGAAATTCAAGTTAAGAAGAAAAAGTCGTCTGCACAACAGGTTCCACCTCAAGATATTCGAGTGGACTATTTTGATTATTGGCCAATAACAAAAGACAAAATGAGATGGAAATATCCAGAATTTAAAGGATTTACTCGCAGTATGTGTGAGAAAAACAATGTATCCCTGTACCTTAATAAAAACAATACTTGTTTCAAATACTTCCATATCGGTTCACTAATGCGACACTGGCATAAGTCTGATCATTAACTGATGCTGTTAATGATCAGACTTATGCCAGTGTCGCATCTCATGCAACCATGGAAGCTAGCAAGGATGTATTGGAAGTGACAATACCTCATAACGCTATGAGTATTGATAACAGTAGTCTTGAGAAGACCGCCAAATCTACTTATAGTACACAGGTGTTGTCAGTTCCTTCATCTGGTGCGTCTTCTGAGGTTATAGCTGGCAATTCCCCACTACCTACCCAAAGACCATTATCAATGACCCCTGTCATGAAAATGGTTTTTGTGTCTAGGTTTGCGCCTGATACTTCGGCTGAGGATATAAATTACTGTAACAAAAAAATAAATGGTATTTATTTTCTAAGATGCTACAAGCTTCGATCAGCATACTCTGAAAGTAGATCATCATTTAAAATATTAGTTCATGATGATATATTTCCAAGTTTGATATCGAAAGATTTTTGGCCTGCTAGAATGTTTGTTAAAGAATTTCTAGAAAGATCAGATAATTTAGCTCATTTACCTCAGAGATCTGAACCAGTATCAAAAGACTAGATAACCTATTTACCATTTGCTATCAGAATGTAAGGGGGTTAATCACTAAAGGGCTAAGCAGAATGCTCGCGTTGAGCCATCCGTCGCGTTATGTTATCGAAAATACAACAACCACAAGGAAACGATATGCGCGTGTGTTATCGTTTCCTTGTGTCAGTAATAAGACTGTCAAGTAAATCGACGCCCATATGGGGGTTGAATTCTGTTATAACAGCGGGACATTTCACGTCGATAGGTTTTTTTTTAGCTTTCTATCGTATCTTTTTACGTTGGTCTCTGGCTAGCTAAGTTCCCACAAATGACAAATGAAGGTTGACGTGTTTATTATCTTTCCATAGAAGTGATAATATATCAACAGCATCTATGTAAATCTACAGCATCTACGTAGTAATGGCGAGTACCCCGGCGCCTTTTTCATCATATTTTCTAAAGGTAGCTTTCAATTAGGTACTCTATTCCGACGAATTATATCTAATGAGAGCATACCTCCTTTGAATAAGTGCAGCATACGTGGAATGACTGTGTAATATTTATCGTGGTATAATTTGTAATTTTGATTTCTAGATGCAATCTGTGATAAACGCAGAACAATAATGGATGTTGGCCCTAGGTCAGACTTACCAAAAACAGAGGTATAACAATAAAGTTTCTATTTTCTAAAGCGTAGTGTAGCCAATTGGCTACATAAATAAAAATATACATTTTTAATAAAATCACCTCAAAATATCAAAATACACACCTTTACTTATCCAAAAATATTTTTTGATTTGAACAATATTGATTTAAATGTATCCAAACTAACTATTGCAATTGCAGTTTTTGCCAAAAGCACGTGATCACGTTTACATCTTAGAAAATGAAGTAAAGATTACCTATTTCACATGGATGTTAAAAACGGGCTTGTCGTGTTAATAGTATGAAATGTATTACAACAAACATAATAACCAAAAATTAGATATTGTGTCTCGAAAGTAGTTTTTATACGATTTTATGTTAATGTTGCCAATTGGCTACGCAATGCATTTAAGGGATAAGGCAGTTCTTAAGTAGGAATATTAAATAATAAAATTAGAATTGAATTTACATTGACACCATACAAGTCCGTTGTATATTTTCCTTTCTCCCGCTATTACAATTACTACGGTTTGAAATAAACAACAGAAAACAAATTCCGTAATATGGATGATGACGCAACTGTAGATGAAAACGCAAACCAGAAATCATCAATTTTTAAAACAGAACGAATGGTGGCGTGGATGTTATGGACCAAGCGCTTCGTAAATGTACCACACAGAGCCACCAACAAAGGGGTGATCTTTGTCTTTTTACAATATGCTCGATATTAGTGATTTCGCGGCATACATCATATTTTATGAGAGCAACAGAACTATTCCATATCCTGTGGCTGAGCCACAGGAGGAAATGCGCCCACCAGCGCACCAGCACCGAAGTGCTGTATCCCTTGGTGAGGGGTGAAACCACAACCCCCGCGATGCTTCCCAGGGGGCCACACCAGATCGACAGATTCACGGCACCTGAAAACCTCCGCTCAGGCTCGAGATCGAAGCCTCTCCCATTTCGACGCAAGTCCGGGCTGGTATCCCAAAACAAAAATATACGGCAGCATCAAAAACCGTAAGCGACAAGGAAAAACCTTTCCCCTGGCAGTGGCGACGTCGAACAAATACACACAACACAATTAACATGCTGTCCTCACGAACTGCACAAAGGGCCCAAAGGATCGCGGCATCGGACATCACCACACAAACAATTAACAAAACTGCCCTCACGGACAGCCAACATTACATCCACAAGACTAGTGAAGCTCATGAAGTAGAAAACGCGAAACACGCCTGATGGTCCCAACGACTGTTGTCAGCTTCTACTTCAACCGATCGAAGTGTGGAAGAAAATTCAAACACTCTGACACCGCTATCCCGAGATATTTGACATTATACGAATACCTTATGCCGCGTTCACCAGCTCGAATGCAGGGAGGACGGCTGCATGCCAACCTGCCTTTCAGCAGCATCAGCACGGTCTTCTCGGTAGCCACTTCCACTCCAACACGGCCACTCCAAGCCTGCACAATCTGCATAGCTTGCTCACCACGATTTTCCATTTCAAGACGAATATCTCCTTCAATCATGATGAGCAAGTCATCCGCATATGCACAGACAGCTAGCTCCCGCAA